ATGATGATTATAACAATAAGTGCAGAGTGCTGATGTATATGATAACAATGGTATGTAAAATGGGTCACGTATATTTTCTGCTGTTTTTGTCCACTATATCAGTATCATTTGTTTTATTTATTGTGTTTTTAACTCACCCCTTGGCTTTCAAATCAAGCAGTGAAGCGGAGAGAAAAGCCTAGAATTCGGAATTTTGGTTTGCCACACACACGAATAACCAAGGCGATGTTTTATATTTTAATTTTGTACGGTGGTGGTAGAGATGGAGATATCATTAGACCAGGCGGTAGCCACTGCACTTGTGCATGCTTTTGCTTCATGATTTTTAATAACCCACTTTTTAGTTTTAACCTGCCCCTTCTTTTGATACTAATAAAATTGGATTCTTACGAATTTCGTTTTATTATCATTATATGAATAGTTTTATTTTGATCGTAGGTAGCACTTGTACTATTAGTTAAAATTAAAATAAATTCTTGAAATCATGGAAAAGCCTCTCGATAGAATGCTAACGGTAACACTCTGGTTGATAAATATAGGAATATTATATCCATAATATATCTGACACCTTTAAAACCATCTGATTGAAACACAAAATAATAAGTGTCGTTGAAATCCTACCATGTACCACATCATAGCTATTCTGATTAGCAGATAACAAATATCCTGGATATTTAACTTGTTTTCCTGGCTGCACTATTGAGGGCTATTTTAAGCATAGTCTTTAACAGTGTTTAAGTAAAACATTAAAAGATGAAAACCGTGTTAGTTACGATGGAAACGGTGGCATTCCTGTTAATCTATACTATTAGTATTACTAGTACTACAACTTCTTCCTTTCAGAAATACGCACATAGAAGCTGAAACCAGTCAAATCACGTGGATAAAATAAGGGTTTACCTCTATAAACGAGATCGGTTGCTCATTGTGCATTGCGCCAAATAACTATAACTATAAGTATAAGCGCACAGAGAATTACTAGGCTCTCGAAACCTGGGAGTGGGTTCGCTTTTCAAATTATTTACCGTTTATCTGTAATTCCTGCTTGTATTGCGGTCTAAGGCAAAGTAAATGTAGGCTAGTAGTAGCCGGTGACTTTTTAGTCATAAGAAGATTTCCTTACTGCGGTAGTTTACGCGATACAACTACAATTTTGTCTCCAAAACGGTTAAAACCGGTCCTTAGATGATGGTATGGGTCCTTATTACTATCATATAAGGCTTATATGAGGTATGGATGAAATGTTCTCAACCGCTATAGTAAAAATAGATGCACAGTATGACCGATTTATAAAGCCGATGTGGCACAACTATGAGTCCAATAGCGATGCTTTAAACAATCGAACGTCGCGTTTCAAACAGTTTACATTTCTTTCATAATTGAAAACAAAGAAAAGTAAGGCTGATGGTAGTCGGGTGGCGACTGGCGAGTCTATTCTGGGGACATTTTCAAAAGATCATAATAAATGAAATAGTTTATTCTATCAGTATGCCACAAAACGTGTGGCACATCAATTTGGTTTCATGCCATCATCAATTAACTGACTTATTGGTTTGTGGGCAAAAATGTCATCTAGTCTGTCAAATTTGGGTTCAGAAAATTTCATATTTGAAAATGGGACAGCCTTTTGAAAATGCAACTTTTCGTTTTGTTAAGATTTCTACTGTGGGCTTCTTCCGACCGGAATCAAACTTCCAGCACCTCAATCGTGTCATATGCCATTTATAGTTGACTTACTAATTGGTTGCAGGTCAAAAATTCAATCAAAACTGTAAAATTTCTCTCCTGGAAATTTCATCTTCAAAAACTGAAAATGGGACAGAAATTGGGCCAATATGATTTTGCAATTTTATGCGGGATTTTGACTCCCAGTACCTCAATTTGGTTTCATACCATCATCAATTAACTGACTAATTGGTTTGTGGGCAAAAATGTTATCCAATCTGTCAAATTTGGGTTCAGAAAATTTCATATTTGAAAATGGGACAGCTTTTTGAAAATGCAACTTTTTGTTTTGTTAAGCTTTCTGCTGTGGGCTTCTTCCGACCGAAATCAAATTTCCAGCACCTCAATCGTGTCATATGCCATTTATAGTTGACTTACTAATTGGTTGCAGGTCAAAAATTCAGTCAAAACTGTAAAATTTCGGTCCTGGAAATTTCATCTTCAAAAACTGAAAATGGGACAGAGATTGGGACAATATGATTTTGCAATTTTATCCGGGATTTTGACTCCCTGTACCTCAATTTGGTTTCATACCATCATCAATTAACTGACATATTGGTTTGTGGGCAAAAATGTTATCCAATCTGTCAAATTTGGGTTCAGAAAATTTCATATTTGAAAATGGGACAGCTTTTTGAAAATGCACCTTTTCGTTTTGTTAAGCTTTCTGCTGTGGGCTTCTTCCGACCGAAATCAAACTTCCAGCACCTCAATCGTGTCATATGCCATTTATAGTTGACTTACTAATTGGTTGCAGGTCAAAAATTCAGTCAAAACTGTAAAATTTCGGTCCTGGAATTTCATCTTCAAAAACTGAAAATGGGACAGAGATTGGGACAATATGATTTTGCAATTTTATCCGGGATTTTGACTCCCAGTACCTCAATTTGGTTTCATACCATCATCAATTAACGTTAGCGGCCACCCCAAGTAATCAAGAGTGAGGCACCCTGGCTACGTGCCTGTCAAGAGTAAGCAGCCGAATTGGGAATTTCAGGTTCAATATTTGCTTATCTTTCTCTAATTTTTGCCAAATAAATCCGGCTGATAAATTTGGATAACTACGATTATGATAAAACAAAATTTGCTAAAATACATATGATGAGCTGCAATAGCAAAACTACGATATTAAAAAGAATATTGGACCATTGGCTGGTAGCAAACACATAAACATCAGCTTGATTCATGGAACTAGAGCTTTTAGAAATGTGCACTGGACTAGACGAATATAGCTGACAACAGCAGCGTCTATTTTGGTCACGTGACAGGCTAGTAAAAATTTTTAGAAAATGTGTTATTGGACCGGTTTGGGGAGCGACCTAGGGCTCTTTAATTAATCATGCCCATCATCAGCCGCTACCCCAGTCCCCGAGACTTCATCTTTACTTTCGTCTGGTTTTCCACTCTCTGTTCAATCACCAAGTTACTAGCTAGGTAACATGATAATCGAACTGAGGTACAGCTTTCAACGTAACAACGATTTCGGATAGTTCGGACAGACCCACGTTCTAACCACTTGAACGACAAACCAGTGCACTGCCAACTGTACACGGTCCTCACACACTTTCATTAAACCAAAGTTACTTTTATACCAACATAGTTTACGCGGAACATTTACTTGTACGTACGGCTACCCCTAGCTCCTCCCATATATGGCGTGTAATTAGGTGTGCAAATATCACGTGCTAGATGCAGCCTGCAAGTGATACACCGATCAGAGCTAGCTCAACAGTCCCCCTGTTAATTATGACTTATATGGCGTGTAATTACCTGTGCAAATATCACGTGCTAGATGCCGCCACTAAGCGCGCTGAATCGCTATCTCGTGACCCTCACGTGACCGATTAAAGGAAGTTCTCTGTGTGTGACGGAAACTAGGAAAATGCTAGTTTGAGCATCAAATAGGCAAGAACCCTCTCATTCTGCAGTCGAATTTAAGATCTATTTCAACTCTAATAGTTGACGGTGGAGCAGGAAATCGATCTAGTGCAGCAGCTCAGGTGTGCATTTTCTCCCAGGAGAAGAGCACGCTTCCGGCTTCACATGTTCTGGCGAGCCTTCCTTCAGAGGAAGACTCTAATGAATGTAAAGTTACTTTAGGGATTATAATATGGGAATTAGCTTAAGTACTGGAAGTCAAGGGCCGGCCCGACATTTTACAGTTTTGACCAAATTTCTGACCCGCAACCAATTAGTCAGTCTAGTTCTACACTCTACTATAGTTAGTCGACTGTTCCATATCTTCCAATACAGTCGATCTTCGAGATTGTTATACAATTAACTGTGTGTTAAATCCTGAAGGATATATTCTATTCTGCAATAATAATCGCCTAATAAGCGCTTTTTTGGCAGTCTGAGCGCGATCAAGTAAGTTTCATTTCATGCAAGGTTTTCTGGAATTAATTATCATTAAATTAGAGGTTGACGTGGTAATTATGCGATGAAATTATAATTTACAATTCTCACTTTGACCTTATTCATCAAAACACGAAAGTTATTTCGCAGTTATTTTCAGACCGTATAGTGACCAGGTCGTCTTAACCCTTAAATTAATTTCTGTCTAACTCTAACGTGTACATTATTCCCACCCAAATATATAATAAAACGATGTTATTTCATCTAATTTTAAAATAACACAAAATTTTGTTATCGTATTATATTAACATGCAATACATCATACAATTCCGTTCAAAATGATATGTAACAATGATGTGAGAGAAGAAATATTGAAGTTAAATCATTTAAGACGATGGCAAAAATAAATATTCCTATTATAACCTGAAATAATAGTTCGTGAAGATATGTAACCGGTAACTTTAATAAGTTTAAATCATGCTATATAAGAATAAATATTTTATCACGGTAAGTTCGTCATCCAAAAAGGAATGGAAATTGAAAAACTTGATCGTGATAACAAACGGTGGTCCGTGTTATTCATTATTGAGTCAAGAATATGCTGATAAGAATTAACTGAAAAATCAAGATTTTTTCCACATTAATAAGTTTAACTTTGAGTAAGAACTTAAACGTGGCATCAAATAAATAAAGAAAAATAAAAACCCAGATTAAATAGCGGAGAATTGAAATGCGCCATTTAAAACCGCAAAAATATGCGACCTATTCAGCTACTTTAATTAGTTAAGATTCACAGCTGCGTGGTCAATAATAGTTGTATCATACAAGGATAAATTAAAATAAAAGTAAACAATTAATGTTAATGATATTTATAATTCGGATTACACACCAATGAAACTCTATACAATTGACAAGCTACCATGGATGCAAACAATATGCAACAACAACAAAACGATAAATTAGATGCATCAAACCAGGTTAAATTGTACATTTTCAAAAACTGAGTAAATGGTAAAACTGTGTAGTGTGTATAGTGCGCTGTGTAGTGTGTATAGTGCGCTGTGTAGTGTGTATAGTGCAGACTTAATGCAGGGTCCTTCAGTTAGTTATTGGTTCCCTTGGGATACAAAACTGCGTTTGCCGCTGTCATTCGCTTATGAAACTCCTTTGAGCATGCTTCTAGTATTAACACTACTTATCAGTAGTTTCAATAATAGGCGATGAAGCCATTATTAACATTTTTCTGAGAATGTAATTCTCCCATCTCCCAGGTCAACAAGAACAAGTCTTGGAACGAAGTAGCTAAAGCCCTCAATATTAAAGACGACAAGAGTGCCGTGAGCTTCCTCAGGAAGCAGTACATCAAGTATTTGTTTGCATTTGAATGCAAGTTCGACCACAGTTTGGACTTCCTGAGTGACCACGGTCCTGAGCCACTCAGATTAAACCATGAGATGAGACGAGGTCCTGACATGGACAAACAGCCCGCTCCAAAACGTCAAGCGACCACTAACGTGAGATATATATGTTGGCCGTTTTGTAAGGTTTAGTTTAGGTCAACACCTGGTACTCTTTAGCCAAGTTAGGTCCTGAGATGTCGTTAAGTAAGCAATGTGTTAACAGAGTTAACAGTCTGGATGTACTGACAGAGAACCTCCACAGGGACCAACAAGTGTGCAGCCGGAGAGGTACGCTCCACCCAACACATACTATAACAGCTACTACCCTCCCTCCTCCCACCCTGGACCCCATCCTGGTGGACCTCATCCTGCTCCTGACATTCACAATGGGGGCCCACCCCCAAATATGACGTCTGGGTTCCACGGTCCTCCTCCTACAGGACCACCCCCACCTTCTGACCACCCTGGGTACAGACCTCCCATGTATTATCCAGGCCAGTACCCACCTGGGCATCCTGGACACCACCCCTCCCACATGGGGTACATGAGACCACCTTATCAGCCGGACCACATGTCCCCTCATGGGCCTGATAGCTGGAGATTCAGACAGCCGTACCCCGGCAACCAACCACCTCCAGGCCCGACTATATACGGGGAACAGACGATACATCGGTACCCGGCTAACGCAGTCCAACCTCCTTACCAACCCAGTCCCGCTCCAAGGCTACAGGTGAGTGTAGCCAGAGTTTCACTGCTATCATCACCATCAACTTCAACAGCCGGAAAAATTGCAAACAAATCATTTTTCATGCTTTAAACAGTTGAGTATCTCAACATTTTACATTTTAGATCTCACTCATATTAGACACTCCATGGGTATCGGCTGGCTGAGTTTTAAAGCACTTTTTTGCAGGTCGCTCCAGCCCCAACCAAAATGAGCAATTTAGGCAGAAGCAATGAAAGAGCCAAGGTTTTTATTTTGCTATGTATTTGGGGCCCTATTTGCTGTTACGGCTTTAACCAGGATATATTCTGACTAATTAAACAGTTTAAAAATAGACGTTCCTCTGCTCATTAAAAATTGAAAACAGATTATTTACCCCTTACCACGATTAAACCTGAACCTTACCGCAGAATCAGTCCGATTCAAGCAAGAAAAAGAGCTCCTCCTCTGCCCCAGCGGCCCCAACAGCGGCCCTACAAGTATCCTCACAACCACTTCACATCAGCCCTACCGTGACTACTCCGTCCATCAGCAGTATGCCCACCTCAGCTTCCTCCCATCTCGCTCCAGTTCGGATGCACCCTTCAGAGCGACCTGCTCCTCCTTCCGGTCCGCCCACAATCGAACAGGCGACCCCCAACATCAGTAAGAGAAGGAAACTCACCTCTAAAGAGCTAGGTTAGTCACTTTAATATACACTTTATATATATAATACACTTTAATATACAGTCATGCGCATTTAACTTTCGGGGAAATTGGGAGATTGTTTGGCCGTATTGTGGCAGAACCTAATCCCCCAATTTCCCTAATTTTGTATAAGAACATCGCCAACTTTCTATAATACTAAGGGACGACTGTAATGGAAATCCTCTAAGATTTCGTGTTGTATTTCATGTTGTGACTTGTACCGTGGGACAGGTAGAATTCCCAAACACCGTACTGTTTTCTATTACATAACCCACCCCAGGATATGTAGAGACTATCAGACTGGTAATGTCCCTGAAATCGGGGCTGCTGACTGAGTCTACGTGGGTTGTTAACGTGCTGAACATTCTGTTGTGTGATAACACAATGGTAGCTTACTTCTACCTTGGACACCATCCCAACCTGCTCAGGATGCTGGATAGACTATTGGACCACTTCCAAAAGGTAAACAAACATTTCCGTAATCCCGTATTTGAGTGCCGTATGGATCTATGACTTGACCTTTAACGAGGCATGAAATATGGATGATACAAGTAATATAAGTATTAATTAAACATCTTACATTTTTATAAACATTTCCAATACCTGTGCGATGTGTAACATTGCGTTCATCATCAGGTATTAGTGGATATATTCGGAGAGAAGGTAGTTGGTAGTAAGCTGTACAGCGATGCTAAGCTGGTCGGCCTACAGCCGAGTACCAAGAAATACAAAGACGTTGCTCCTGTCACTCTTGTGATAGACCCAGCCATTAAGGAGTCTGCGGACCCTTACCCCACCATCGAACACAACTGTCTCAAATCCCTGGACTACATCGACACCATGCACGAAATCAACAGCAAGTTAAAGTTAACACCGTCATACCCCGTGAATCTGTCGGAACTTGACCAGAAGTTCGGTGACTCTAAACCGTTGGAGGTTGGGGCCGACAAGGAGAACGAGCCTGTTCTAAAGATGGAGCCAGATCTTCCAAGTATTCCATCAGAGGAACTCAAGGAGGAACTTAGCAAGGTAAGGGCCTCATGTTTTTTGTAATAGAAGGTCAAACTAGTTTGTCATTTTTGTACAGTGCCACGATACCACTCAAATTATTCGTGATTTCAGCGCAGTCTTGACTAAATCAAAACCTTATCAATATCAAATATCTACTTAATGAGCAACTAATTAATATAATCTTCAGATAAAGGATCCTATAATACCGCAAATGAATGGAGTCAACGGTGTCAAACCTGAGACAGTTGCAGTAGTAAATGACGGCAAGAAAGAAGACCCCAAAGTCGCAGCGAAAGCTATTGACTACGAAAACATCAGCGAAGAATCGCTGAGGGCTCTGTGGAAACGCTTGCGAAGTTCCAACGAAAAACGAGTAGAAAACGAAAGTGTGAAGATTGAGGACGAGTTCCTGTTCATCCAGTCGGACCAGGACCGTCATCTTAGCAGCAGGTGCTCGTCCGTGATGAACATCTTCCGGAGTCTCTCCTTCATCCCCGGTAATGACATGATCCTCTCACATCATCCCGGATTTCTCCTTATGATTTCTCAGTTGTTGTCTCTTCATCATGTCCATTACAGTGAACTGGAGTCACAGGATTGCAATCAATCGTTCGAACGCACTAGCAAGCGCTCTATCAAAGAAAAAGAAGCATTGGGACTTCCGAGCGGCTGGTGCTTTTCGAAAACTCTGGACTCTCTCAGAGAATCATCGTTTTGTATAATGGCAAATATAAGCGGGCAGCTGGACTTCAGTAACTTTAATCAGTCTTTGTATACACCGTTGATTCAATCAGTAGTTCACTGGGTCACATGCTCGTCATCGGAAGCAGTTGACCCGTTCCCTCCCGCCTATCTTTCTACCATTACCCCTCAGAGACTCATGCTTGAAGCTCTGTCAAAAATGTCAATATTATCATCCAATCTCCAGCCGATAGTTCGGAGTATAAAAGACCAGATTCCCGCGTTGTTTAAAGCTCTTGTCTTATTGTTAGGGGACAGAACGCAGCAGGTCGCCCGAGAATTCGCCTTGGTTATCATGTCTAACTTATCACAGACTGGTGGGAACGAGGGTGTCGAGGTGGCACACCAACTCGCTAACTTCACCCAAGTCATTTCACTTCTCCTTAAGTTCCTGGAGGACGCAGAAGCTTCGGCGGCTAATTTCGCGCTGAACGCCCACATGGCGGGGCACAGCTCGTTACCGTCTAACATATCACAGGAAGAACTGTGCGGGGGAACCAGTATCGACATGTTACGACGTGCTGCGCTCACTCTGATACACTTGGCCAAGTATTCGGACAACAAGAAACTCTTCCTGACCCACCAACACCGGGTCCTCAACCTGGCCATGTCCCGGTTTACCCACCCCCGGATCGGAGCCATGATCGCTAACTTATTATATCACATGGAGAGTGACTGGAAGTTGACGTGACGTACGTTAATAACACCAAATGACTGTGGTTATGTGTTACCCAAGGGTTGCAAGTTTCAGACAGTGCAGGATGTGCGCGCTGCGCGCGGCTCTGCACGTGCACCAAGTTTTGAGCACGTGCACCTCAAACGCTGCAAACGAAGAATATTTGTGTGATATTTCTGTTGTATAGAGCGTCAGATCTTACCATGATGATTATAACAATAAGTGCAGAGTGCTGATGTATATGATAACAATGGTATGTAAAATGGGTCACGTATATTTTCTGCTGTTTTTGTCCACTATATCAGTATCATTTGTTTTATTTATTGTGTTTTTAACTCACCCCTTGGCTTTCAAATCAAGCAGTGAAGCGGAGAGAAAAGCCTAGAATTCGGAATTTTGGTTTGCCACACACACGAATAACCAAGGCGATGTTTTATATTTTAATTTTGTACGGTGGTGGTAGAGATGGAGATATCATTAGACCAGGCGGTAGCCACTGCACTTGTGCATGCTTTTGCTTCATGATTTTTAATAACCCACTTTTTAGTTTTAACCTGCCCCTTCTTTTGATACTAATAAAATTGGATTCTTACGAATTTCGTTTTATTATCATTATATGAATAGTTTTATTTCGATCGTAGGTAGCACTTGTACTATTAGTTAAAATTAAAATAAATTCTTGAAATCATGGAAAAGCCTCTCGATAGAATGCTAACGGTTACACTCTGGTTGATACATATATGAATATTGTATCCATAATATATCTGACACCTTTATTAAAACCATCTGATTAAAACACAAAATAATAAGTGTCGTTGAAATCGATTTTTCACCATCCTACCATGTACCACATCTTCCTTTCAGAAATACGCACATAGAAGCTGAAACCAGTCAAATCACGTGGATAAAATAAGGGTTTACCTCTGTAAACGAGATCGGTTGCTCATTGTGCATTGCGCCAAATAACTATAAGTATTAGTATAAGCGCACAGAGAATTACTAGGCTCTCGAAACCTGGGAGTGGGTTCGCTTTTCAAATTATTTACCGTTTATCTGTAATTCCTGCTTGTATTGCGGTCTAAGGCAAAGTAAATGTAGGCTAGTAGTAGCCGGTGACTTTTTAGTCATAAGAAGATTTCCTTACTGCGGCAGTTTACGCGATACAACTACAATTTTGTCTCCAAAACGGTTAAAACCGGTCCTTAGATGATGGTATATGGGTCATTATTACTATCATATAAGGCTTATATGAGGTATGGATGAAATGTTCTCAACCGCTATAGTAAAAATAGATGCACAGTATCACAGATTCATAAAGCCGATGTGGCACAACTATGAGTCCAATAGCGATGCTTTAAACAATCGAACGTCGCGTTTCAAACAGTTTACATTTCTTTCATAATTGAAAACAAAGAAAAGTAAGGCTGATGGTAGTCGGGTGGCGACTGGCGAGTCTATTCTGGGGACATTTTCAAAAGATCATAATAAATGAAATAGTTTATTCTATCAATATGCCACAAAACGTGGGGCACATCAATTTGGTTTCATACCATCATCAATTAACTGACTTATTGGTTTGTGGGCAAAAATGTCATCCAGTCTGTCAAATTTGGGCACCCCAATCGTGTCATAATCATATGTTATTTATATTTGACTTACTTATTAGTTATTGGTTGCAGGTGAAAAAATCAGTAAAAACTGTAAATCTTCGGTCCTGGAAATTTCATCTTCAAAAACTGAAAATGGGACAGAGATTGGGACAATATGATTTTGCAATTTTATGCGGGATTTTGACTCCCAGTACCTCAATTTGGTTTCATACCATCATCAATTAACTGACTTATTAGTTTGTGGGCAAAAATGTCATCCAGTTTGTCAAATTTGGGTTCAGAAAATTTCATATTTGAAAATGGGACAGCCTTTTGAAAATGCAACTTTTCGTTTTGTTAAGATTTCTGCTGTGGGCTTCTTCCGACCGGAATCAAACTTCCAGCACCTCAATCGTGTCATATGCCATTTATAGTTGACTTACTAATTGGTTGCAGGTCAAAAATTCAATCAAAACTGTAAAATTTCTCTCCTGGAAATTTCATCTTCAAAAACTGAAAATGGGACAGAAATTGGGCCAATATGATTTTGCAATTTTATGCGGGATTTTGACTCCCAGTACCTCAATTTGGTTTCATACCATCATCAATTAACTGACTAATTGGTTTGTGGGCAAAAATGTTATCCAATCTGTCAAATTTGGGTTCAGAAAATTTCATATTTGAAAATGGGACAGCTTTTTGAAAATGCAACTTTTTGTTTTGTTAAGCTTTCTGCTGTGGGCTTCTTCCGACCGAAATCAAATTTCCAGCACCTCAATCGTGTCATATGCCATTTATAGTTGACTTACTAATTGGTTGCAGGTCAAAAATTCAGTCAAAACTGTAAAATTTCGGTCCTGGAAATTTCATCTTCAAAAACTGAAAATGGGACAGAGATTGGGACAATATGATTTTGCAATTTTATCCGGGATTTTGACTCCCAGTACCTCAATTTGGTTTCATACCATCATCAATTAACTGACATATTGGTTTGTGGGCAAAAATGTTATCCAATCTGTCAAATTTGGGTTCAGAACATTTCATATTTGAAAATGGGACAGCTTTTTGAAAATGCAACTTTTCGTTTTGTTAAGCTTTCTGCTGTGGGCTTCTTCCGACCGAAATCAAACTTCCAGCACCTCAATCGTGTCATATGCCATTTATAGTTGACTTACTAATTGGTTGCAGGTCAAAAATTCAGTCAAAACTGTAAAATTTCGGTCCTGGAATTTCATCTTCAAAAACTGAAAATGGGACAGAGATTGGGACAATATGATTTTGCAATTTTATCCGGGATTTTGACTCCCAGTACCTCAATTTGGTTTCATACCATCATCAATTAACGTTAGCGGCCACCCCAAGTAATTCAAGAGTGAGGCACCCTGGCTACGTGCCTGTCAAGAGTAAGCAGCCGAATTGGGAATTTCAGGTTCAATATTTGCTTATCTTTCTCTAATTTTTGCCAAATAAATCCGGCTGATAAATTTGGATAACTACGATTATGATAAAACAAAATTTGCTAAAATACATATGATGAGCTGCAATAGCAAAACTACGATATTAAAAAGAATATTGGACCATTGGCTGGTAGCAAACACATAAACATCAGCTTGATTCATGGAACTAGAGCTTTTAGAAATGTGCACTGGACTAGACGAATATAGCTGACAACAGCAGCGTCTATTTTGGTCACGTGACAGGCTAGTAAAAATTTTTAGAAAATGTGTTATTGGACCGGTTTGGGGAGCGACCTAGGGCTCTTTAATTAATCATGCCCATCATCAGCCGCTACCCCAGTCCCCGAGACTTCATCTTTACTTTCGTCTGGTTTTCCACTCTCTGTTCAATCACCAAGTTACTAGCTAGGTAACATGATAATCGAACTGAGGTACAGCTTTCAACGTAACAACGATTTCGGATAGTTCGGACAGACCCACGTTCTAACCACTTGAACGACAAACCAGTGCACTGCCAACTGTACACGGTCCTCACACACTTTCATTAAACCAAAGTTACTTTTATACCAACATAGTTTACGCGGAACATTTACTTGTACGTACGGCTACCCCTAGCTCCTCCCATACATGGCGTGTAATTAGGTGTGCAAATATCACGTGCTAGATGCAGCCAGCAAGAGATACCCTGCAAGTGATACACCGAGAGCTAGCTCAACAGTCCCCCTGTTAATTATGACTTATATGGCGTGTAATTACCTGTGCAAATATCACGTGCTATATGCCGCCACTAAGCGCGCTGAATCGCTATCTCGTGACCCTCACGTGACCGATTAAAGGAAGTTCTCTGTGTGTGACGGAAACTAGGAAAATGCTAGTTTGAGCATGAAATAGGCAAGAACCCTCTCATTCTGCAGTCGAATTTAAGTTCTATTTCAACTCTAATAGTTGACGGTGGAGCAGGAAATCGATCTAGTGCAGCAGCTCAGGTGTGCATTTTCTCCCAGGAGAAGAGCACGCTTCCGGCTTCACATGTTCTGGCGAGCCTTCCTTCAGAGGAAGACTCTAATGAATGTAAAGTTACTTTAGGGATTATAATATGGGAATTAGCTTAAGTACTGGAAGTCAAGGGCCGGCCCGACATTTTACAGTTTTGACCAAATTTCTGACCCGCAACCAATTAGTCAGTCTAGTTCTACACTCTACTATAGTTAGTCGACTGTTCCATATCTTCCAATACAGTCGATCTTCGAGATTGTTATACAATTAACTGTGTGTTAAATCCTGAAGGATATATTCTATTCTGCAATAATAATCGCCTAATAAGCGCTTTTTTGGCAGTCTGAGCGCGATCAAGTAAGTTTCATTTCATGCAAGGTTTTCTGGAATTAATTATCATTAAATTAGAGGTTGACGTGGTAATTATGCGATGAAATTATAATTTACAATTCTCACTTTGACCTTATTCATCAAAACACGAAAGTTATTTCGCAGTTATTTTCAGACCGTATAGTGACCAGGTCGTCTTAACCCTTAAATTAATTTCTGTCTAACTCTAACGTGTACATTATTCCCACCCAAATATATAATAAAACGATGTTATTTCATCTAATTTTAAAATAACACAAAATTTTGTTATCGTATTATATTAACATGCAATACATCATACAATTCCGTTCAAAATGATATGTAACAATGATGTGAGAGAAGAAATATTGAAGTTAAATCATTTAAGACGATGGCAAAAATAAATATTCCTATTATAACCTGAAATAATAGTTCGTGAAGATATGTAACCGGTAACTTTAATAAGTTTAAATCATGCTATATAAGAATAAATATTTTATCACGGTAAGTTCGTCATCCAAAAAGGAATGGAAATTGAAAAACTTGATCGTGATAACAAACGGTGGTCCGTGTTATTCATTATTGAGTCAAGAATATGCTGATAAGAATTAACTGAAAAATCAAGATTTTTTCCACATTAATAAGTTTAACTTTGAGTAAGAACTTAAACGTGGCATCAAATAAATAAAGAAAAATAAAAACCCAGATTAAATAGCGGAGAATTGAAATGCGCCATTTAAAACCGCAAAAATATGCGACCTATTCAGCTACTTTAATTAGTTAAGATTCACAGCTGCGTGGTCAATAATAGTTGTATCATACAAGGATAAATTAAAATAAAAGTAAACAATTAATGTTAATGATATTTATAATTCGGATTACACACCAATGAAACTCTATACAATTGACAAGCTACCATGGATGCAAACAATATGCAACAACAACAAAACGATAAATTAGATGCATCAAACCAGGTTAAATTGTACATTTTCAAAAACTGAGTAAATGGTAAAACTGTGTAGTGTGTATAGTGCGCTGTGTAGTGTGTATAGTGCGCTGTGTAGTGTGTATAGTGCAGACTTAATGCAGGGTCCTTCAGTTAGTTATTGGTTCCCTTGGGATACAAAACTGCGTTTGCCGCTGTCATTCGCTTATGAAACTCCTTTGAGCATGCTTCTAGTATTAACACTACTTATCAGTAGTTTCAATAATAGGCGATGAAGCC